ATGACACTCATGTGTCAGTTGTGTAATGGACTAAAAGCATTTCCATATGTTTCTCTCTTCCCACTTAACAATGCATGCTGGGAGAAGTCAAATCCCATTTCTGTGGAAGGAATTGTGCAGTTACCAAATTGCATGAACACGTTTTCAAAGCTGATATTGGGAGAAAAGTAAAACATATCGTTGTACTCTTCAAACTTGTGTAGTCAAGCGGCTTATTGGTGCTTATTGGAAAAAGACAAATAGACACAATAATAATGAATGGATTAACAAATTAGCATTATGTATGGCATGAAAGGAGATTATATGTTGAGAAACAGACAAATTGTGTTTAATGAAATATCCAAACCTTTTATAATCCTATCCTTAGAAATTCAAGCGCCAGAGATACCGCATTATATTTGCTTAAATTGTATACATAATTATTATTTTGTAGATATGGAATGTTTGTTTTATTCTATAAACTACTGACAACATGTATCTGTGTTGGAATTCAGCAGACACTGGAATGGAATGGCTGCTTACTGGTAGAGATTTAAGAAAAATGTGGATTGGTCTTTATTCCGGAGCTTTATAACCCTGTTAGAATAAAAACATTTGAACACATAATTGGTACTATTGGTCCTGATTGCGTCTGTAGATAAAGTTATTTAGCAGAAAAGCTCACTCTACCTGACCCTTCGGCATCTGAAGGAAAATGAGGTTGACGCAGGACACAACAGAGCAATCAATTCTCAAATGAAGATCCCATCAACTTGTAGTCCAATCCAGTGAGTGACTCTCAATGAATGAATAAATCAGTAACTCAGTCAATCAATTCACCACCTCTTGATTGCTTCCTAGAAGTCTTCCAAAGCTACATCAATATGTCCTTAGAGCAAGCTTTGGACTCCCCAATGGGTTATGCTGTAAAAACAATATACTGTATGATCTGCCATGCCTGAAGAATTCTAAGAAATGTTAAATTAAAGTCTGATAATGCAGTGCCATATGCCTTTTTTTATACTGAATTGATCAATTATCCAATTGCAGAGAATATAACCTTTATTGACATGTGGGTGAAGGATGAAAATATTGTTTCCTCTACGCTAACATTTTACCTTCCATTTTACCTTCCATTTTAAAATCAGCTGCTCTTTACCTTTCACTGAAGAGCTTTAGGCAAAGGATACCAGGCTCACACTTCCAGATCATAGTCCAATCCACACACTGACCCTGACACGCTGAAAACAACCTGAACCCCCTCCGCTTCACACTCTCCAAGTCACATTTGTGCTAAGCCAAACTAGAAACTATTGCATGGGACTGATCAAGAATACTGCCTTTAAACCGTTAGCTGTTGACTTTGTTGTGGCACAATTCCATTGAAATTCCATGTATGGAACAACTGGTTCAACCTTAATGTCTAACATTTGAGCGAGTGTGGCACAGGGCGTAGAGCTGTCGTCCACCAATCAGAAGGTAGGTGGTTTGATCCCCAGCACCTGCAGTCAACATGTCGCTGTGTCCTTGGGCAAGATACTTAACCCCCAATTGCAACGGTAAGTGAATGTTAGTTAAGGTGTCACCATGTTTGGAAGCCTCTGCCTGTATGCATGTGTATGAATGGGTGGAAAGTGCTAGCCTATATAAATGCCCTTCATTTACCATTTATCAAACTGGCACAGTATATTACAGTAAGTATATTCTTAATATCTCAGTATAAAAAACATACTTGTTTGTTTTATTCTCTGGACAACATGGACCTTCATTTTGACAAATGCCAAGGTTACTTTTAGTGTCAAAATAACAATGTAACCAGGAAAAACTTATTGTAAAAGACAAAGACAAAAATAATACATCTAGAATGGGTTGGGGTCCACAAGCTGTCACAGTCTGCTCCCACACTCACCTATTTTCTGCATTGGCATTTATCAGTCACCTCAGTCACCTGGTAGTCACACCCTGTTTCTCTCTCACACTCTGTTACTCTCTCACACTCTGTTACACCCATTAGCTCCACTAGGCCCCCTTCACTCTCACCTCAGTGCCAGATCGTACTTTGCAGCATGCAGTTCTTTCCAGCATTACCTCCCAGATTGCTCTCCCGGGTTCGACCTTGCCTGTCCCTGACCAGCCTGCTTCGCCTGTTTCCTGACCCTGCCTGTACAAGCATAACATCTGAAAGGAGTCTTTCTGAGTTTGGAGTTGACAAGAGGAAGATGAAGTGTATCACAGTCCTGAGAGCGTGCTTGAAAAGTGAAGTTATGTAAATTAGTAATTTGTCTAGGAGTGCTAACTAAACATATTATGGTCTTTGCCACACTACAATGACATGTTATGCTTTCTTTTTCTTCTTATGTGTGTTAACGGCACACAACTAATACGTGTGTTCACTTCCCATATCCACTGTAACGTGAGTTCTAAATGGTCTCTTTCACATTTCTACCATCATCACACACACACACACACACCCACACACACACACACACACACACACACACACACACACACACACACACACACACACACACACACACACACACACACACACACACACACACACACACCCACACACACACACACACACACACACACACACACACACACACACACACACACACACACACACACACACACACACACACACACACTTCCCACATAGTTGCCCGTTACTGGTAATAGACCGCTACATCGTAAACTGTCTTTCCAGTAATGGAAAATGTGTGTGTTTCTGAGCATGTGTGCAAGTATTCACTACACTAAATCATGTCTCTCTTTAAATAAAATATCACATCTAATGAGATTTTCCTTTGTGTTAGCACCCTGTTCTCTATTGCTTCAAACTCATATCCAGAATGGACTAACAACCTCATAGTAAGGCTTCTGGTAAGCAGTTATTTTAAGTATACATATTGCATATTGATAGTAAAGTAGTATAGTGTGACAAATGAACACGTCAGTCAGAATGTGTACATACTTCATGGACCCATGAACATGTATTTAAATTATTTATGGACCTTATCAAGTAAGTGGTTAAATAGGAAATGTGATTGCGCAGTGATTTATAATCAGTTTTTAATCTGTAAAACATTTAAGATTGTTTATATTCTTTCTGCACAAATATGTTGGAATGCAGTATGATCCATGTGGATTTACTACAATTAAATTGTATCTTAAAGCTTTTGCCCTGTTGTTCTCAATATCACCAAGCCCTTTGGCTCTCGATCAGCTTATGTCCCACACACACACACACACACACACACACACACACACACACACACACACACACACACACACACACACACACACACACACACACACACACACACACACACACACACACACACACACACACACACACCACACACACACACACACACACACACACACACACACACACACACACACACACACACACACACACACACACACACACACCTTATCGTTATCTATCTTTTTGACCTCTAGCTAAAACAAACCAAGGGTGCAGTGTTATATCCATATTTTTTAAGCAAAAATAATTAACATACTTTATGGTAAATGATTACCTTGTATGTCTGTGTCATGCTTTTACCCCTTGAAATGCAATAACATCTACAAAGGTGCAATTCATTCAAAATGAAAAAAATAGATGTTGTTCAGTAAATAACGGTTAGGGTTATCATTGTAGTCTTGTTATCATCGCATGATTACAAGATGATGTAGCTTGTCTCAAAATTAAGTGAAAAAGATTCATAATAACAATAAAATGTATCATCTTATAATCATCACAGTCAGTTTTGAGTCACATTTATAAGATACAAAAATGTGTAATAAAGAAATACACAAGATGATTGTCTGTGAAGGTCTCCAATTGATTTATTTTCTGATAAATGATGTAGCTCCTTAAAAAAACACATGATCTTCAGTTGTCTATGTATTGTGCTTACAGCAGATGAATTCCACAAAGTCAAAGAGGAGGCAGATTGAAATATCTCGACTGAAATGAAATACAAATAAAATGATTGTTCCACGTGTAATACAAGTGTTAAATGTATTCGAGAGTGAAACATTCATCATGCACACGTGTAAAATGAATGATGGTTGAATTCCATTGAGCTGTTTCATGATCCTGGTATTAATAATCGTGACCACCACTGTCTCACTTTCATGGTTTACTGGGACACTCAAATAGAACAGAGACATTTTTTACGTTATAACTAACACTGGTGCATTTCCTACTAGTCAAACAAGTCAACATGTCTTTAAAAAATGCCTGTTGTCTTTTATTTTTTGTCTTTTTGGTTGCCTACTTTTTATATAAATTCCCATTTTTTTAATAAAAGTGCGATGTCACGGGATAAACATAGTTGCATTTCAGCTGTTGAGGTCTTCTTTAAACTAAAAGAAACACGTGTAGAATAAAACAATCTACAAATTAAAAGAATGGATGAAAAATGTATCAAACGACACTTCTTTAAGTTGTATGACTTTCATCTGTTGCTGAGTCTTCAAGCACATACAAAAGAGCTGTGTGTCTCTATTTCATAACCCTTTGTGCTAAATGCAGAGATAACATAGTGTTTTTTGCAAGCAGAAAATAAAATCATCTGAAAAGTATAACAAACCTGATTTAGGTAATTACTGTTTCATACATGATTTTTCCATTCTTTAATTAACACGATTAGTTTTCAATGTCTTAACTAACAAAAAGCAAAAACATTTTCCCTTCATTAATCCATTTAACTCCCCTTACATTAGACATGGCTAATTTAACAGGACTAGCCCTTTAAAGAAGTCCTATAAAGGAACAGTCCATTTCACAAAAAATGGGGGAGTCAGTCACTGCTTCGTGAGATTTAGACATTTAAACACAAACACCTACATTATAAAGAAAAAAGAACCATTAACTTTCAAATTACTATAACGCTTGAATGTCTCACACTCTGAAAAAAAACATTTAATGGTTTAATGTTTTCACAAAAAAGACGTTCCCCCCTTTAGGGCTTTTCTATTAATAGCATCAGCTGTTGCAATACAAAGATTAGCTATTCAACGTATTGTTTCGCAGATGTGGGGAGCACACTCCCGTCTGTGGCGAAAGGGCGGCGGTGGTTTGAAGCCGAGAAAGAGGGAGATGAGGAGGAATATGTCGGTGTGAGGACGTCTCTTTGTGCTCACGACAGCGAAACTCATATCGGTAAGTAGCTTTCCTGCTGACAGAGAGAAGGTCGTGAATGCGGGCGTTTGTATTCAGGGACAGTGAAGGCAACACCTAGCGTTAATGTAAAACTCCTCTCTGTGTATCAACAATTTACTCTCGGCTAGCTAACTGTCACCGGGGTTTTTGACTAATGACAGCGAGGAAAACAGTCAAGGGAAGTTAGCTTGTGTTAATTGAGAGTCTGAACGACTGAATTCAGTTTGCGGAAATTCCTTTTTGCTGCAAACTTCACGAAAAAAGATGAAGCAACCAAAATCCGTTATTCATGGGCGGCTATTGTGGGTTCTCCAGACCGCCGCTCACACTCAGGACACGGGCCTTGCCTCTGTGTGTCAAAAATGTTCCCCGAAACAAAAACACACTGTCTCTTACCTTAGGTGAGGGATATTCATGAAAGCTTCCATTGTATTTTTTTAACCCCTCGGTGTTTTTTTTCAAACAGCAACATATATACACATCGGTGTCAGCTCTGAGGGAGAAACGTGTGCAGATGTAACCGCTGGACACACAGAGAACAGAGGGATTCTTCATGTATCAAATCATAGGATGAGATCATTCAGAAGCACCTCAGACACACACACACACACACACACACACACACACACACACACACACACAACACACACACACACACACACACACACACACACACACACACACCACACACACACACACACACACACACACACACACACACACACACACACACACACACTTTAATCACTATTTATAGCAAAGTGAAATCACTAGATAATTTGGCTTTCATCATAACTTCATAGAGATCTTAATCTTTGCTGGTGATGATGATGATGATGATGATGATGATGATGATGATGATGATGATGATGATGGTAGCTGTAGAACATTTCCCCAAAGCTTCATTTTGACCTTTGACCAGGGAATTACCCTCTGGATGATTGGTGGAGCGAAGTTTCCCAGATATGCCATTCAGTGTATGCAAGGCTTGTGTCACACATGATTGAATGATTCTTATGAGATGCATGTTTATGGGGTTCTATGACACCTTTTGAGGTTTCTTGGCAAACGTTTGGCATATAAAGTGTTGTGAATCAGACTTGTCTGACCATAGGTTATTTAAAATATGAGTGTTAACAAGGAATGGAATGATAAGGTACTTTTATTCCATAATATTCCAATCCTAATTTGTCCAAATGGTTTTTGTGGGTATAGGGATAGCCTACCCTTTCAGATGGAGACAAAGGACAGCCGAAGGACAGCTAAGATAAAGTGTTTATTTCTCTTGCGTTCAAGTTTCACTACATGTTCAAATTGTATTCAAGGTCAGTCTTTGTCAAATCTAATTTCAGAAAACCTATATCACAAAACATGTTAAGCAAACTGTCTTTACTGTTTCTGATTCGGCCCTAATATATATATGTTTTCAACAGATTGGATATGTCCTAGTTTCACAGTTGGTTAGGTTCTATATTCCTCATTTTTCTATCCAAAGAAATCCACTTGACATGGTCTCTTTTGCTTTGTAACGTAGACATTTAGGTTTGGAGTTTGCCTTAAGTTTTGACGCAGGTATCCTTTATGTCATTTAGCTTTCTAGCCAATTGATGTCTTATTTTGTGCATCTGTAGTCTGCCTCAAAATCACCCTGATGATTTCATCTCTTTTTGGACTCACTGGTGTCCTAGTGTCAGCTCATTTATTCAAAACAATAGATTGTTTCATTATGTAAGACAGTATTCATCTATAAGTAAAACAGAGACATCATTAGTTCTTACAATTTCAATCAGAGTTTGTTAAAAATCATACAGAAAACAATTATTTGTAAAATAATAACGTGATGTTCATTTAATCTCGGTATTGATTTACTGACGGCCCAAAAAACACAACAACTTATTTCCTTGCATGGCAATATTATAGAAAACATAAAGGCCACTGTGTTGATTTATATACCTACACTACCGCTCTAATTAGTATATTGATAATGTTATTTAGTTCTTGAGCCCTGCTTGACAGTGGTGTCTAATGTGTATGAGAAATATAGTAGACTCCTAGTATGTGATTGTTTTCATTTGAATTGATAAAGATTGAATGATTGAAAAGTGTTTTGCAGTTAAAATACAGATCGGTCCAATTACAGTAAGAAGTACTCCACCATTCATTCACATCCTGTATCCTTGTTGAAATGTCCAAACATCCAGAAAAAGAGTGAATAATTAGAGTGGATAAATGGAAAGGTCAGAGTAGGAACTGCCCCCAGCCAGTCACATTACATAAGGGAGTTATTTGGGTTGTGTGTATGAATGGCAGCCTTATCTACAGGGAATGTTCAAAAATGGCATAGTGTTATGAAAAAAGACATAAAAGTAATTTATGGCTCAATGAGTTCTCAAATAATGCTGAGAGAGTCAAGTTAGTCATTGGTGATGACCCACAGTCATGTGATCAGCTGCACAGACCTCTGTTAGGCTGCGTGCACTTTGTTCTCTCTGAATGTTGCAAAGGGTCTTACCGATCGGGGAGTGGTTGAGGAATGAGACCTAAACACGTGAATGGGTTAGCATTAGCACTACCAGGCTCTAATCTCAGTCATTTCTTTTGGGTTGGATTCCTAAAATAAGGTGGTGGTTAATACAAGTTTACGAGATTTTCACATTTTGTTATGACATAAAATACATCAGAAAATACCACCCTGATGAACATGTGGAGCTTTTGTGTGTCTTTAAAAACTGCGGTTACTGTCACACTAAATGAGACTTCTAAACGTCATCACTCCGTACGTTAGCCGTCTTTAGCTTAGCGGTGTTGACGTGAAGCCATGCGACTCTGATGTTATACGTTTCTAGCCTAACATTAGCTAGCATTTCCACTTGAATGATCATATAAGTGGTGTCAATATCTGGAGATTATCCTGCTGAACAAAACGTGTAAGTATCATAATCATAAGTGTGTGTTCAACACAGATCCTCATTTCTGCAATATTCCAAAATCTAATGGAAAAATCCCATCGCTTTTAGTCAGACGAGCCATTGCCATGCTAACGTCTGGACGGCTCTACAAAAACAAGTCATATCTACACCACTATAATGTCTGTCACTATGGGAGAAAATAGGATGAGGGGGCAAGCTAATATAGCTTATCTCATTGTCTGAAATAGACCACATCATTCAGTTCTGAGCAAATAAGTTGTTCAAATTAGACCTGAAATAAGGCTGGGTGAAAAATCAATTCTAACATTATAGACCAAATACCCTGATGTCAATTTGACAACAGTGTTGGGTTTACCATCGATGCTTTCACAAAATAGTTATATAAATGATAAATAATAAATCAGTAATATGGATTTAATGACAAAGCGTACAAAGGCAAATAAGAGAACAGCTAGAACAGTCTCGTAAATCCAGAAAAATGACATAACTTTACTGTAATGCAGCCGTTAAAACCAGAACAATTAACACTTATAATGAATCAGAATTGTATCAATATCACAAAATGGACTAGTGCAATATCCAAATTGCAGTGAGTGAAATATTTGGTGAAAGCACGACATGTTATCACACAGTATCATAGCCTACTGCTGCTAAAATAACCATCAGTTTGAAACACTTCTTGGTAAGGAAGTTTGCTTCTTACTTAGGGTTGCAAACTTCTGGGAATTTTCAAAGATCAGTGCATGACATTAAGGATTTTGGGAGATGGCCCTGAGCCATGGTCCAGCCAAGCTGGGATGAATGGTTGCCCTCTCCTTCTCCTCATAGTCTCTGGCCTTCTGGATTCTCTCTTCTTCTGACTGGGATTCTCTTTTTGATTCTCTTTTTTGGGGGGGGACTGCAGCTCAGTCTTTCTCTTCTTCTTTCCAGGTTGTTCACCTTGCTTTGGTGGACTAAGAAACATTGTAATACACTGACTTTAAATGATTTGATCGTTAGGTATTCAGCATCAGAATCCGTAACAAATTGAAATTCCCGCGAAAATGTGGTTGCATTCGATTCATTGTCCGGGTAGTATTCATTGTATAGAAATCGTATTGACCGGGCCAGCCCGAACATCGCGAAGTTGGTCGAACGAATGCCTCCTCATCCGGAAGCTGACCGATCAGACCCGAGCAGCAGTCGAGAGGAGCCCGAGCACATCCGCGAAGCACACAAAATGGCGACATCCATGAAGAAAGACGGGTTGACCGACTTTTGGCAACTTTTTCATCGTTTTCCAACCGATTTGTGTATCCACAATTGCCATAATAGATTGCCCGATCGGGCAGCCAGCAGGTGAGGCTTCATTGCCCGAGCTAAATACTATATTGCCTCGGGCCATCGGGCAGTCGTTAATGTCGAGCCCTGAAGATGGAAACTTTCCATGGGAATAAACTGGGAATTTTCTAAATTGAAGGTTGGCTCTTCATAGGGATATATAGTTCATATAGTTGGGGAAAGTATATTTTAGCGTAATCTTGACTAAAACAAATGGATGCCATTCAAGTACTCTTGCATATCCATGCCATTCCTCAATCCCATGCACATAGCACACTGCTTACTGCATGGCTATTGAGACCACACTGTGCATTCCTCCATCACATGCACATGCATTTCCGGTAAATTAAGAGATTTACGGGAAATGTTCCGCCCCTTTGCAACCCTAATCTTACTGCACATTCAAGTTGTATCGAACTTGTGTAGGAGACGCTAGAGATGTACACTTTCAACAAAAGAGACATTGTTTTTTGTGAAGGTTACATCTATTTAGTAATTGTATTGCCATGTTGGCAAGCAGGGTGACTGTTTGAGTTATTCTGTATAAAGTGCACATATGATTATTCTTTACTACATGAATAATTGAAAAATATTGCCAATATTGATGCTGGTAGAGAAATGGCAGGTTCCTTTGTCTTTATTTTGGCAGACACAGATAGCCCCTTACAGCTAGGAACCAGAAACCCCCTACTCCCAGGTACAAAACCCAGATTAGCCTAAAAGTCAGTCATTGAATATTTAGGAAAATAT